ATGGTATATTTCAGTCCATTAAGATATCAAAGCTTTTCCCTCATTGTTCATAATTTTGGCCATAGATGTGCACAGAAATTAGAATCGACTGGAACACTGGCAGCTTTGTCTTCAGATTGTGCCATGCTTTAGTCACAAAATTTTGAGTTGGTTCTCACAGAACACCTCTGACCATTCATATTTGCCTGTCCATCCACTCGTCCCACTTTCCATCACCTGTAGGCATAACTCTAAGGTACGTGATCTCCACCAATGCCGTTGTTTCTCTATTTACCTGCAGAGCTCGGCCGGCTGAAGAACGTGGAAGCACAAGATTTTTCGTTTTAGACACGCTAACATCCTTGCCGGCAACATCTCAATCCGCTGTTAACCTTTCCAAAGAGTACTGAAGATCAGGTTCAGAAGATGCCAATAAAACAAGGTCGTCTGCAAACAGCAACCTTCTCGTCTTCACATCTCCTACATTGATATACTCTTCACCTTGGCTGGTCTTGACTATTCTAACCATGTACGGCACAAACATGAGAAGAGACAGACAAAACGCAGCCTTGTGGATACCGGTGCTAATGTTGGAAGGACTCTTCCTAAGTGCATCTACTTTGACGCAGCATCTGCTATCAACATTTAGTGATTAGACAACTCACAGCAACTGCCCATATGTTTGAACGCTCGCTGCATGGCTTGTTGCATTGGATCCGGTCATAGGCTTCCCCCAGGTCAATGAAACTTAGGCCGGATGAGCAAACTTCAACATTTTATCAACAGTCTGGCGTAAGTTGAAAATCTGGTCATAGATGTTCCGGCCTTACCTTCCGGCGTTACCCGAAACCACTGTGCTCTTCTATCTTATGTCAGATTTCTATCTCAGCACCTTTGTTTTAACACCCTTGCATAGGCTTTTCTCGGGAGGCCCAATAAGGTAATACCCCGATGACTGTAGTATTCGTTCTTGAACAGAGGCACTACAATCTCGTTCTCCTATCCTCTTGTGTCTTCCTCGTAGTCATTTCAGCTTGACAGATACGTGTTAGCCTCAACAGGCCTTGTTCGCCTAAAACTTTAAGCATTTCAGGGCTTCATTCATCGATTCCAGCAGCCTTGTTACTGTTCAAGCTTCTGACAGCTTCTGTGACAAGTCTAATATCTGATGCCTGCTGCAATTCAGACAAGTCTTCTTGCGGTTGCTTAGCACTAAGGAGTTCCTCAAAGTACTCTCTTCATTGTCGAAGAATGTTATCATTCTTGGTAGCAGGGCGTCCAAATTTTCCTTCATGACTCTTAAATATCTTTTCTTTCCATCTCAGAGGCGGCGGATGGTCTTTCAGAATGCCTTATTTGCAGTCTGGAAATTCCACTCAAACACCTCACGGAACGTTTCTCTGGAATCTGCTGTCACTGTGGTTCGCGGCGTTTCTCCGCATTGCATTATAGTAGAAGGCCGTTTCCTTTCATGTGATCTCTTGAATGCCGCCTACATTTCAGATACGACGAGCCGGGCTTCTTTTGTAAACGGGAAGTACATTTCTGACTCTCAGGACGCAGGCCCACCAGTTTTAAACCATCGCATTCGGCGACAACCTTGAGTAAACAGGGTTCCTACAGCTTTCACGGAGTCTGCATCACTAGGACCGATTCAAACCCTCCTGCATTGTTGATTGCAAGTTTGCCATCGCATCCACAGCAAATAATGTTTCCGATATGCAATTATCAAACCGCTCATTGAATAATGCGCATAAGCTTCCTTTTACCAGATACCGATGTACGTTTCGATGCTCAAAGAAGGTTTGTATGACAGATAGTGCGCTGTTTTCACATAACTGTAATAATTTCATGCCGTCATTATTGAGGTCGCTATGGTCGTTCTTTCCAGTTACGCTTTCACCTTTTCAGTTTGTTCTTCGACGTATGTCTTGAAA